CACTGTAATTACGACAACAAGAACTTTTAATTACATTTCTTTAGCGTCGCTGCACAACTACGAGGATTTCCTTATGCATGGTCGTCTCTGGAGACCGTAAACACACGACGACCTGTTTTATTTCAAGCAGATAGAATGGATTTGCACTTGCTATAGCAGACGCACTAAACAACTCTCTCAGTTCCCCTATAATATCTTCTTGTTTTAAGCAAATGTCAAGTGTTTTTCTCAAAATTCTGATTACGTCATGAAAGAAACAGAGCTCAGCGTTTACTTTTGAGTTATGGATGCCTTTGGCAGGTTTGCTATAAGCACTTAAGAACAGTAGACCTGCACCGTTCTAAACCTGTTATTTCACTGGTCCCCTTTAATATGCATCTCCATTGTTTTCATGCAGGGATAGGGGCATTGTTATGTGACAATCCCTATTGTTTTCCCAGCTAATCAAAGACAATCTTTCAAATAGGTACGGGATCGCCCCCTAAGAAGCCAGAGCATCATCTTCATTCAACAAAAACAGTTAATAGTTAATAGCTACTTGAATTGCGTAGAAAAGTGTTTAATACTGTCGTCGGCATGAAACGAAGTAATGAGTTGACAAAAGTAAGCGAGGCCTGTATTGAGCTTTATAATCGTCTTTCAGCTACAAAGAATATCTGACTCACAGAAATGAGTTGACAAAGGTAAGCAAGGCCTATATTGAGCTATATAATCGTCTTTCAGCTATAAAGAATATCTGATTCACAGAATTGATATTCAGTCTTCAGTATTCAACGGTAACACTTGTTTGTTACTACCTAAAGTTACCGCCGATTCCTACATTTTTTAATCCTTTGAATTGATTCAAGCCTTTAGTACATCATTCGCTAGTTCGTGTTTTTTTTCTCAGTATTATGAATTGTTGTTTTGCTTTCATTGGCTAAAGAAGTAAAAAGGGCAGAAAATGATTAATAAAAACTAAAACAATGCCTATACTGACCTTTATAATTATTTTCAGCTACAAAAGAATATCTGACTCTCTAAGATTGAGTATTCAGAATTTTGATTACGTTATGAAAGAAACAGAGCTCAGCGTTTACTTTTGAGTTATGGATGCCTTTGGCAGGTTTGCTATAAGCACTTAAGAACAGTAGACCTGCACCGTTCTAAACCTGTTATTTCACTGGTCCCCTTTAATATGCATCTCCATTGTTTTCATGCAGGGATAGGGGCATTGTTATGTGACAATCCCTATTGTTTTCCCAGCTAATCAAAAACAATCTTTCAAATCGGTACGGGATCGCTTCTTAAGAAGCCAGAGCATCATCTTCATTCAACAAAAACAGTTAATAGTTAATAGCTACTTGAATTGCGTAGAAAAGTGTTTAATACTGTCGACGGCATGAAACGAAGGAATGAGTTGACAAAAGTAAGCGAGGCCTATATCGAGCTTTATAATCGTCTTTCAGCTATAAAGAATATCTGACTCACAGAATTGAGTTGACAAAAGTAAGCAAGGCCTATCTTGAGCTTTATAATCGTCTTTCAGCTACAAAGAATATCTGACTCACAGAATTGATATTCAACAGTAACACTTCTTTGTTACTACCTAAAGTTATCGCCGATTCCTACATTTTTTAATCCTTTGATTCAAGCCTCTAGTATATCATTCTCTAGTTCGTGTTTTTTTTTTCTCAGTATTATGAATTGTTGTTTTGCTTTCATTGGCTAAAGAAGTAAAAAGGGTAGAAAATAATTAATAAAAAATAAAACAATGGCTATACTGACCTTTATAATTATTTTCAGCTACAAAAGAATATGTGACTCTCTAAGATTGAGTATTCAATCGCCTTTATTCTATTAGAAGTTCTGTAACACTTGTCACTAGCCTTCAGCCACAAGTTGATCCAAAATTTCTTTAAACTTACCAAAAGGTGCTTGACAGTTCAAAAAAGTTGCTCAAAAGTTGTTCGTTAAGTGAATCAAAATGACAGCCATTTTTGTATTTTTTCCAAAGCAGGTGACCCCACTGATGACATTTGTTGCTCCCCATACAATTCTATAACGTGATGTAACCAGCTGGTTAGTTATTTCTCTTTCTTGCACTTTTCTCTATAGCCGTTTAGCCTCTTTCTCCGCAGCAATATTATTGCCATTTTTCACAATTGCTTTTTTGGCTCTGGAGTTACTTTCGGAAAATCAAAGCTTTTTGAAAATGTTGGAGAAACAATGTTTATGACAATTCTTCTTCCGATGATAGTTTTCGTGGAGGATTAAAGTAAAATTCAAATTCAAAACAGATATAAAGATATTATTAGGTTATGAAAAATGTTTGCGATCTTACGCGCGTAAGAGTAATGTCCATACAATTAATCTTCCTCCTAAACAGTTTTTCGATCCCTTGTCTTCTCTTTATTTTATTGTTTAAAGAACATAGAACTTCGAATTAACTTTCTTAATTGTACGTGGCATAGCGCGCGTTTAATTCATGACAAAACTCTCGTCACTTCCCCTCCCGTCTACTTCCTGCCAGTAAATATCAAGTCCTTTTCTATTTTGATTATGTTATCCTGAAAGAAACAGTAAACGACCCAGCGCTTATTCTTGAGTTAGGAATTTACTTTCATGGGAGTTGCTTAAGCACTTAAAAAGCTAAAGTCACACTTGACCATCCTTACCTCGTGCGGTTCTTACGCCTGTTTCATATAACAATAACAATAACAATAACACTTATTATTTGTATTGCGCCTTTTCTATAAAATATTCAAAAGCGCTTCACAACAGTAATTAATAACTAAAATTTTACAAATCTTTCTATCAAAATTATAAAAAAATATCTACATTTCATGCATAGCATGCTCCTACGTTTAGGTATAACTTAATAGTATAACCAGAGTCATTTCTTATATGGCTAATATCTCAGATCAACTCAGACATATTTTGCACATAAAATTCGATGAATTGTTGGTGATTTGACACACGCAGACAAGTGTCTCATACTTCATATTGTCGATGGCGAGCTAACTTAATCAAAAATGACCAAAAATAAGGCCCTTTTTGACCTTTCTAAGGCTGTTTCTACACTACACTATACTAGTTCTCGCACCCCTCAAAACGAACCATATCGGGTATGCTATATGTTAACACATAAGAATGGTAGTATGTATTTGAGCAAAGCTGCGCAGCGCTGATCTTTCGAGTGAACCGGATAGGTTTCTGGGTAGTGTGGACAGGCGCTCGTACAAGTCCGGAGTATTTTTCATGTCTTCATAATAAGCTATCCGGTATACTACAAACATAGCTCAGACATATTTTGCACATAAAATTCGATGAATTGTTGGTGATTTGACGCGCGTAGACAAGTGTCTCATACTTCATATTGTCGATGGCGAGCTAACTTAATCAAAAATGACCAAAAATAAGGCCCTTTTTGACCTATCTAAGGCTATCTCTACACTACACTATACTAGTTCTTGCACACCTCAAAACGAACCATATCGGGTATGGTATATGTTAACACATAAGAATGGTACGTGTGTAATTGAGCGAAGCTGCGCAGCGCTGATCTTTTCCGAGTGAACCGTACAGGTTTCTGGGTAGTGTGAACAGGCGCTCGTACAAGTCCGCAGTATTTTTCATGTCTATATAATAAGTTGTCCGGTATACTACAAACATAGCTAGGAAGAATATTTGACTCACAAGTCTGATATCCAGTCAGTCATTCGTATTCAACAATTCCTCATGTCTGGTTAGGTACGGCTCCCTTTCCAACACTTTTAAAAAATGCAAGCCTTTGCTTATTTGCTTCCTTTGCCTAGCTCCTGGTTCTATAATTTCTCTTTTTTATAATCTCTGGGTCATCACTGAGCCGTTTTCCGAAAATAAGTACCAACAAGAGAGGAGAATGTGAACATCATGAACGGGCAAAGTGGCCTGAAGAGGTTTTATTTTCTTTTTCGCCAAAAATCATGTTTTCAATATTGTGTCCCCAATTTTTTGCTCCCGCTCCAATTCGAAATTCCATGTGCATGAAATTAGTGAAAGGGAAAGAAGGTAACAGACTCGTATTATAATGAACGGGGATTTCTTTAGTGGACAATTAAATGTTTTGCGCGAGTTAAATCATGCAAAAACCTATAATATCTTTTTAAACCCTGTTTGGCGGATAACCTTCAAAACAAACTATTTGCGATTACTCCTCTCACCGTTTTTTTTATAGACGAAAGAGAGTGCTCGGCTTAAAACTCACTATATAGAACATGTACTTAGCCGTTTTTTTGTTTTTCGTTTTTAATTTTTTTTTCTGCATTTTATTGAGCTAAAAAGAAAGGTATTCGTCGAACATCTAGTCAAAATTCCTTAAAATAGAATGAAAAATTAGTAGATTTGTATCTATCTATTTTAGTATACGCAGGAAAGAAAAATTCCCCTCGACGGATAAATTTATCACCAAAATATCGTGGACCTTTTTCTTCGACCTCCAAGATTAATATTGCCGTCTCGGAATAAATTAATTACGCTCACCATTGCTGACGAGCAACAAAATTTAAGACAGGATGAAGATTTTTTTTCCACCTTGCCTTAAAATGCATTCCATAAAATGCAGTCGTTTCGTATGTCCGTAATGTCCTTAGTCAGAAGAAAAGAGGTACCGGTAATTCTGAAATCCAGATGCAAAATATTGTTTGATTCAGTTCATAAACAAGGAGGGTCCACTATTGCGGTCGACAAGAGGAACCCACAATCCTAATCTCCAGGTTGGCGAGTACAGTCTATCAAAGCGTATCATGAAGGGTAGGTGTATCATGAAGGAAGGCAGACGTGCGATTCTGAGCTCGCGAGTTATTGGACTTGTACTTATTTTGTGTCTTGTTCATACCTTGAGGAAAGATAAACAAGATTATTCTTTTACCAGCGAGTACTTTGGTCTATGTTTCCCGCATTCCTCGTCGGTTAAAGAGGTAAACTGGGATACGAGACACTGTACAAAATGGCGGACACACGTGCATGTCACTATCAGTATGAGAGTGAAACGAGCAAGCGCTACTACAGCCTACTACGCCAACTCAACCTCTACCTTTAGACCTGTTACACAACTGCTACATGATGTGGAACTTAACCCTGGACCTGCAAACTGCTCTAGTGGAGACAAGTCAGAAAAGTCAAATGGCAATGTTAAAATCGCACATCTTAATGTTCGCTCGCTCAAATGCCGTGAGCATTTCGTTCTTGTAAAGAATGCGGTACTGGAAAATAAGTTTGATATATTTACCGTATCCGAAACATGGCTCAACAGTTCAGTTACGGATTTGGAGATAGAAATCCCTGGCTATGTTATCTACCGAATCGACCGACAGGCGAGGGTTGGCGGTGGAGTATGTGCTTATGTCTCACGAAATTACAGGACGGAGTACTTGAGTGACATTTCTCTTATCACGGCCTCTGGCTTCCATCAACTGTGGCTAAAAATCCACGTCAGAAACATGAAGTCCTTCCTTGTCTGTACAACCTATAGACCACCGGACACTTCTTTATCTTGTTTCGATTCAGATCTTACAGAGAACTTTATTTATGCCTCGTCGTTTAATGTTCCAATTTATCTATTAGGTGATTTGAACTGCAGACTTGAGAATAGCGACGATCCTGGAGCTAAAGCCCTTGTTAACTTTTAACTTTTGCCGTTCCTATAACTTGTCAATATTGATCAACACACCAACACGAGTTACAGAGACTTCGAAATCAATTTTAGATGTTATCCTTGCATCGGCTACAAGACAAGTCCAAACGGCTACAGTTATGGAAAGCTCGATCAGCGACCATGAGCTAATTTATGTCACCTTAAGATTGAAGAAGGCGCGCTCCAAACCCATTTATATTACTACCAGAAGTTTTAAACACTACAGTCCTATTGATTTCAGCAACGACGTATCATTGGCACCGTGGTCCATAGTCGATGTTTTCGACGATGTCGAGGATAAAATTTATGCATTTGATTCGCTGTTTACTGAGATACTCGACCGTCATGCTCCAGTTAAAACCTTTAAAGCACGCTGTAAGCCAAACCCATGCGTAACCGACAACATCCGCGGATTGATGAAGACCAGGGATGATTGGCGTAAAAAAGCAAAGTAAACAAATGACCCGCTATCCTGGACTGCCTACAGATATTTCAGACAGGAAGTAAAGAGGGAAATTAGAATTGCTGAACGAGAATTTGTTGCTGAACAAATCCAAAGGAACCCAAATAACACCAATAATATCTGGAAAGCAATCCGCCAGTGTGTCCCCAATAAATCTACATCTCAGCGAACATTTAGTAAGAGCGTCAAATCTGTTGCAGACGAATTTAACCAGTTCTTCGTATCTGTTGGTCAGAGCACTGTTGACAAAATTACGTCCCTGGCTAATGAATGCAACTTAACACTTAATCAGAATTATTTCGTGCCGAGACAATACGCTTCCTCTGACCAGTTCACACTTAGTACCGTTGATTATAAACAAGTAGAGCGTATAATAGCAGCGATGCCTTCAAACAAGGCCCCAGGATAGATAAAATTCCGATCCGTGTCATCAAAGACTGTCTTAATCCAATTGTTCACCCAATAACGTCTATCGTTAATGCATCCTTTCAAAACTGTGTTTTTCCATCAAAATGGAAAACAGCCGAGGTTACACCCATCCTAAAGGAGGGCGACCATGAACAGGCAAACAACAATAGACCCATCTCACTTCTACCAGTTTTATCGAAGGTTTGCGAAAGGGTAGTACATAATCAACTCACCTCGTATCTGCAATCAAATGACACCCTATCAAAGAGTCAAAGCGGTAACAAGAGATGGCACTCTTGTGAAACATCTGTCATTGAAACAACAGACACAATTCTTAACGCCATCGATAAAAAGAAGTTAACGGCAGTTGTACTATTAGATATGAGCAAAGTTTTGATAGTGTCAATCATGACACGTTAATTTTAAAATTGCAAGATGTCGGAATTTCCAGTGACACTCTCCAATGGTTTCGTAGTTACCTAAGCAACAGGTCACAAGTAGTACGAATCTATTCAACGCTATCTGAGCCTTTGTCTGTGACCAGTGGCGTTCCTCAAGGAAGCATCTTGGGCCCACTTCTTTTTAGCATATATACGAACGATCTTCCATTGATCCCACAGAAATGCAGCACCCAGAGTTATGTAGATGATACGAAACTCATCACTTCCTTCGAGCTTAAAGCCAACCTGGATGCAATTGCTGATTTGGAAGACGACCTGTTTAAAATAGGGGAATGGTGTTCCAACAATCAACTGTTACTAAACCCTGGCAAAACCAAGTTGATGATATTTGGCAGCAGGCAGATGCGTGCAAAATTCCAATTTCGTCACCTTTCCTTTATGGGTAAGGACATTGTCCCTACAGACACCGCCAAAGACTTTGGTGTGACTTTGGATTCTAATTTAACTTACGATGAACATATAATTAAAACCGCTTCCTCGTGCATGTCCCGCCTTGGCCAGATAAACCGTGTCAAGCATGTCTTCGACAAACGTACACTTTTGATGATTATTAATTCCTTAGTTTTTAGCAGGTTATTTTATTGCTCCAATGTTTGGTCAAATACCTCAAAATGTAATGTCAACAAGTTACAGGCAGTGCAGAACTTCGCATGCCGCATTGTTAGCGGCGCGCGTAAATTTGACCATGTTACACCAATTCGCAAGGAGCTAAATTGGCTTTCAGTTCCCAGTCAGCTTTATTACCGGAACGCTACAATGGCTTTTAAATGTATGACCGGTCAAGCCCCCGAATACCTTACATCAAAATTCATAAAGCGAGCAGAGGTTAGCCGACGTAGCACCAGAAATTCACAGCTTTTACAAATTCCCTTTTTTAGAACAGCTGCCGGTCAGAGAACATTTTTCTATAGAACTGTGAACTTATGGAACTCCTTAGACAATTCCTTTAAACTGTGTAACTCGATTGATGTTTTTAAAACTCGTTTACGTACTAAATTACTTAAAGAATTGTAATTTTATATATATTTTAAAGCATTTTTTAATTGTAAATAGGATCATGTATTGTCTTTGAAAAACCCCTTGGGAAAGTCAATAAAGTATGTATGTATGTATGTATGTATGTTATTACGCATGCGTCGCCGTATGTAGCAGTTTGGACTTCCATTAAGTATGAAAGGAATGCACAGAATGCAATTTATCACGCGCATTTAAACATTCTATCACTCGTAATCTAATCACTTGTGTTTTGACTATCTCTCACGTGAAACTTACTCAAAGCGCAGCCATGGAGCAAGAGCGCTTAATTTTGACCTTGATTGTTGTCGCTCGCACTCCTTAACCTTAGGTTATTGCTAGTACTCTAGTCATAATAGTCGTCGTGGTTGTTTTTTCCTGGCCATAGATTTGCAAAACAAGAGCCGGAACTTTGGTCATCGTCATGTTATATAACATGATAGAAGGTGAAAACACGTGTGACCTATGGCTTCAGAAAAGCAAACATAGCCTATTTCGTCGAAAAATTGTTAATGCAAGAAGTCACGCTTTATTTTCTTCCACGGTGGTCATCGGTGTGCTATGTGAGATGAAGGTGAAGCGTACCTTGTTGCCTCAGATCATAGGCTATAGGAAACATGGGTTTCGACTAAACAAAGGTTAGATTTTTGTTTAATTGAGTTGAATCACTTACATTAACGTAGACTTAAATCGTTTCTGCTCGTATATTTTCTAGTAGAAAAGGCTGGAAACACGCTTCGGTTTCGATTCAGAAGTCGATCGGCATTCGTTAATTCCCTACCAGTCACAATCTTTTTCATTGACAATGAAATATACGAGATTAGTCTATTTCAGTTTCTGGACTGTTGTTAGATTTTCAACGAGCTAGTTAAACTCTTCTTTATAGACTCAACAAATTTCCTGTTGGATGACTGCAAAGCAACTCGTGGCTGCAAGGACCTAAGGCCACCAGTCAATGTTTAGGCTCAGGGGACGGGGCCGGGCATACCCCGGTTATTTGACCCAATGTCTTTTCCCTTGGGTGGGGAATAGAGGGAGATTTAATAAAACTAAAGATACCGAGGGCGGCCCCGAGGGCGGGATGTTTGATAAAGCCACGAAAGAGCCTGGAACTTAGCTCCAGGACCGCCATAATTATTGAATTTTACCCAGAAAAACCTGGAATCGAGGTTGCGTGTCATATCCGGTCTGCTATCCTAAAATTTCGTGTTCTTTTGACGTTCGCTCTGTTCCACTACCGTTCACCTGATTCCTCGGATTTACAGAAAATACCGCTGTACAAAATGTGAGACTTGATAAGACTTAAAAGAAAGTCTGTGGTAGCCAGTAGCTTCGAACACTGAATTTGCTCGGCAGCTAAGTTGTTTCTATGGTTGTTTTGACCTCAAAATAAAAAAAAAAAAAAAAAAGTTAAAATTGACAGTCTCAGAAACGGGGCATGACGATATTACCTGTTCATTACACAAAGTTAACAAGCTATTAAAAACAGAACTAGTAAATTCTATCGCGCTGAGCGGCTTAACATAAATTTGTTGGATTTGGTAGAAGATGTGTAAGGGTTGGCACCTCCTGGGCTGTGTTGGCTTTAGTACTGATGATATGGACTGGAAGTGCCCCCTCTGTGTTGTAGAGGATCTCATGTAATTGAGGGTGAAAAAGTTTATTATATGTATATATGCATTGTTAATTATTCAAGGGACATTAACATCATAAAATCATACATTTACTTCCAGGGAAGGGGTATTTGACACCAGCATTTGGCCCCTGGACAGGGAATTTGGCATGAAAATAGGGTAAAATGTCAAATCCTCCCCTGGGTATGCCCGGCCCCACTCCGCTGGGGCTAAAAATTGACTGCCTTTACAAAGGCAGGGAACTTAGCCCATAACTCATGCACCGCTGTGGCTTTTGAGTAGACTTTCATTTATTTCAATATTGTGTGAAAAACATGCATCTTTCGGGATTTTGATTGGACGTATCATTCTTTACACCCATGAAAAATATCCTTCACTCCTCTGATAACTCATCAACCTTGCTGTTGTTTTTAAATGTTCACTTTTTGTTTATTAAATCCTTAAGGTGTGTTTTGGTTCTCTCAAATGAGTGATGTCATATGGTTCTCTTAATTTATTTCGGGTTTGTGATCCGAACACAGTCTGCGACATGGGTATTTAAGCAAGTTCATTAAAGCTTTTATTTAGTGGGAGAAGCTTAGTAGATTAGTTGGTTCCTCTCCTCTGGTTCCAAGCGCATGTGCTGGAGCTTTTAATTCTACGCACTTGACGCAAAGGCCACTTTGAAAAAAAAGATTAATTTTCAATATACAGGCTCAAACTCCTGGACACAATAGAATTCAAGACACTTGTAGCAGTCCGTGTAGTAGAAGGAAACCTTTTCTGTGATCAAGTGCATCAATAAAGATGCCACTAAATCTTATAGATTTTATTTAACTGATGTTTCTATGGCCATGACTCAACTTATGCTACCAAAATAAACGGACCATTTATTGATAAGGTCCTGGGTCGGAATAGCTACTTAAATACAAGACATTTCAGTGAAGCTGGGTTAGCTGGCTTCGAAAACCTATCATCTCCTTATCATCACCAGTATTTTCCTGGGGGATTTACGCGTCGTTTATTTTTCATCTTATTTTATCCTTCTTTTTAACCCGTTTTCATTTCATATCATGTCATATCTCACCATAATCAGCTATACTACGACCTAATAATTAGTCTGCATGCTATCCAGTTACCTCGATAAGTTCCCTTTTTTGGTAGCAATGCGCTCGGTCTTCACAAAGAGGAAAGGGGGCGGTTAAAATTCCGGCCAGACCCTAGTCTGCGTCGCAAGAGTTTCTGGGCGAGTTCGTCGAGAAAGTTGGGACGAGAGCAAAAAAAAAAGAAAAAGAAAAGACGGGCGAGGGGGAGAGGGAGGGGAGAGAAGGAAACGCTTACCCGAAAACCCCACGATTTTGAAAAACTGCGTTCGCCCACGAACGCAGCTTTTGATTGGTTCGGTGCTGGCAGTGTTGATTAAATAGCAATCAATACATCAATCAAAACAGGTATGTTTTGTTTACGAGGGTCGCGGTTCTGGTCTGATCTGATTTGTGGTCGCATATTACAAATGCTTTGGTCTGATATTTATTTGAATCGTGCTTGTAAGAAGGTTTATCAGATCTGAGTCCCTTCGATCAAAAGTATAATTGGAGATCGAGCAGTGGAGACTAGTGAAGGCTAATTTATTGGGAATGACGGCGTGCGTATCTGACTGGAAAAAATGGACTGTCCGTTGAAGATAACATCAACGTAAATCAGAACATCGGTACTCGACACTAGCTAGAGCCGCCATGGACAAGTGATTGGAAATTGAGTGGCATCTATTGTAGAGAACTTTTCGACACTGACTGACCTATGAAGAGCAGCCGCTCTGCGAAACTCATAGCCGGAGTCATTTCTTTGCGACGTTTTGACAAGGTTTTAGATGAGATAAAGCCACATAACGTTCAAAATTTAACTTAACTATAAAGAACAAGAAATTCCGCAGCAATCACTTTGAGTTTCAACCTTCTTTTATAGTAAAGCTCTTTTTTATTACAGTTTTGCAATCGCCTGGAGCGTGTTTTAGAGAACAAAGTAAATTTTTCAAATATGGTAAACTATTCGTTATCTATCTTGACAAGCTGTCAATTCACAAATGAACCGAACCGTGAAATATCAAGGGGCGTTTTCCAGAATCGTGGGGTTTGCTGGCAAGCGTTTCCTCTTCTCCCATCCCCCTCCCCCTTGCATTTTTTGTTGCTCCCGCTCTAACGTTCGCGCTATAACTCGATTGGAAACGCTTGCTACGCAGGCTAGCCAGACCCTTACGATGACCTCGATTACGACAAATCCTTCTTTGCTGAGGTAGAAATGGAACATCTGAGCTAATGGATAACTGTCTTCATTTTGAGCGTTGACTGTTAGTTCTAAAAGGGGCTGCTTCAGTTGTCGCATTTGATGATATGAGAGCGACGCCAACAGTAAACCGTTGCAAGAGTCAACGAGTGGAATTCACACAGGTATTTTCAAAGCTACATTATTCATATCACAATCATATGAGAACAAACTAAAGCGGGGACAGTTTTGAAGGTCACTGATCTTCACTGTTCTTTCAATTATGTGCAATTATCGAGAGAATTGTTATCGCTATCAAACGATGGAGCTAACACAGATCTTTTCAAAACTGGTTTGTCGAGATATGTTGTTGAATAAGCGTTTTTGAAGTAGAAAGTGCATGTATGTCAGGAACAGGGGCACCCAACGAGAATATAGTTCAAAACCACTTAAACATAGCATTGTTAAACGTATTTTCGTATTTAAACGGTAGATATAGGCATATTTTTATCCCCTAGAAATTTTTCATCTGTTCGGATTACCTAGCTGAAAGTCTAGTGATCCAAAAATTATAGGGATCAAAACTTACCTTTTCGAAAATTTCAGCCAGAAAAAAGGCTACCGAAAATTCTAGGTGACCTTTTAAGGGTAAAAATCCGTTAAAAATGGGCAATTATACCATTTTTTAGATGTTCGAAAATCCTAGGAGAGGCAGGCAAGCAAGAAATTTTACAACTAATGTTCCGAAAATTCTAGATCGTAAATCGTCTTCCGAACAGATATTTTCCGAAAATTGTCGTTGGATGCCCCCCGCAGGAAGCTGATCTTATTGGGCGAAGTTGTTGTTGTTGAACAACCTTCTTCACAACCGGTTCGAATCTGTTTGTTTTTTTCTCAAATAGATTAGCGTCAGTGGTGGGCTGGATTGCCCGAGGCTTCTTAATTATCAGCAATTCTAGCACAGCACTTCTAAATCGTTGACGTGTAAAACAATATATTAGGGGATTCAGTAGAGAGTTAAGCTGTAATATCAAGTCAGACCAACGGAAAACTGAACTCACAATATAGAACGGTGGACTTTTAAAAAATGCCAACATGGTAATGACAATTTGTTGAACATAAGTGATGAACAGGGTAAAAGTTATCATGGCGCAAGTCTTTGCAACTTTGGACTGGAGTTTCAGTTCAGCTCTAGCTGCGGCAGTTTGGTTGATCATACTTTTCTTGCGTTGGAGTATCCCAAAGTACACCATCAAATAGAAGTAAAGGATTGCAATAGGAAGGCCAAATGCTGTCACCAAATTCAAAAGGCTTTTAATAGAGTAAAGAAAGTACAGAAGGGTCCAGCCTGGCTTTGGAGGAGAAGCTGAAAAGCCTAAAACTATCGCTGACAACCAAGATATTGCCACCAGCTTTTTCACGCGGCCTTCAGTTAAGATGGTCTTGTAGTTAATCCACTTTCTTATCGCCACGTATCTCTCCCAAGCGATCACTGCTAAATGGATCAGGGAAGCCGTGGCTAGAATATTCAAAATCCAAAAGTTGACTAGGTTTGTTGTACAACCTTTCTCAATAGAAACTTGACCGAAAATTAGCAAATCACTAATTGCGTCCAACGGCATGCATATCGCACCAACTAGAAGATCTGTAATGGCCAGGCTAAATAACAAAATGTTGGAACTTTTCTGCAATTCTTTTTCTTTCTTTAAAATAACCATGACTAAAGTGTTCAAAACAACTGTCGAGGGACAAGCAATGGATATAACTGTGGCTAAAGCCCAGCGAGTTGTGGAGTCATTAAGATCCCATTTCAATTCTGGCGAGTGAGCGCAAGAAGCCTGAGACCTGAGTTTAGTCCAAGAGGCATTAGTCAGTGTTTCTGTGCGGTTCAGAACCATTTTGATGTAAAAAAATGATGAAATATGATTAAAGGCGGCCCGTACAGCGCCGGTCTTTTAGGACGGATCTCCACTCTCAAGTTTTGACTAATGCATTACTGTCAAGCTTTTTTCAAGGCATTTTTTGATCACTTTTAGTCGATAACAATTGAGAAAACCATCTGCTCTAGTTCCTCAAGTGACAAGTTTTTGAATTTGAGAGTACAGATGAACTTCCAATTAGCAAATACCAATATTAATTGGAATTAAATTCTAATTATGTGGGGTTAATTTGTATCGAAACAGCTGTCAAAATGATTTGTTTTCTGGTCACCTTTTATCAAGCGCTGGCGCTCACTCTTAAGTCGTGAAAACAAGATTATACTTTTATTTTCTGAACACACTCAAGCAAAATATTCTCTTTCTAACGCAGGGCACGGTTTCTTTACTGACCCAATACCTGAAAATGACTCAACAAGGGACAGAAAAATTTTAGTTGTTTTTGAGATATATTTGCAAGAAAACCATCTGCTCCAGCTAGTGCCTCAAGTGACAAGTTTTTGAATTTGAAAATACAGATGAATTTCCAATTAGCAAATACCAATATTAATTTGAATTAAGTTCTAATTATGTAGGGTTAATTTGTATCGAAACAGCTGTCAAAATGATTTGTTTTCTGGGCGCCTTTTCTCAAACGCTAGTGCTCACTCCCAAGAAAACAAGATTACACTTCAATTTTCTGAACACACTCAAGCAAAATATTCCCTTTCTAACGCAGGGCATGGTTTCTTTACTGACAGTCCCTGGCATAGATAACCCTTTCGGTGTTAAAGGTTGCCAAAGAAAAAAAAACTTCCCCCCTCCCCGAAAAATAAATAAATAAATAACAATAAAAAAATTAAAAGTACCAGGCAAAAGTTCTGCCAGAGACATTCTCTTTGGATGGTGACAACAGGATGTCGTCCACAGATTTAAATGTTATTTATAAATAATCTCTTACAATGCATGTGGTCTAGAAAAAAAAAGGGTTAAGCTAAGCTACTAATTTTGTCCCTTGTCAAAATACTCTAATCTGATTGGTTATTAATTCATCGGACGCTTCAACAGCCAATGAAAACCAATTAACAAATTTTTAATACTAGCCGATGAAATTTAACTACGCAGCCAATAACAACCAATCAAAATCACCGAAAAAAGAGGCTGTCAAGGTTCAGCTTGAAAAGGTTAATGGACGAAATTAACTGGTTCATTGACTATTATTCTGACATTTTTTCTTTGGACTTTGAATACCTGTTTAGCAGTGTTTATTTAGAAAACGTTGAAGCATATGAAAACGACACAGCTCCTGAAGTCGAGAATGCAACAAACCGAGCTGAGAGAAAGGGAGGGCGAGCAAGCGAGCTATCCTCGCAGAAACAAGGATGGAAGCAAAAAAACTTACCAAGATTTTAATAATGAAATTCTCGCATTTTGCTATTGATACAATTGACTGGTAATAGGTTTTCCTGTCGCCCAATTCAAGATTTAGTCGGTAACAGTGCTTGTAAGCTCAAATGGGAAATCAAATTTGGAATTTCTCGCCCGACTATTCCCTGAATTGTACTCCAATAAGTCGTATCACAATTACTAATACTACTGAGCGATATTTTTACGCTCGTGAAAATGCACCTTCTGCTAATTATTTCCTCTTGCGTATTTTAAGACAAAAGTGGAAATTAAAGGCTCAATGGTAACATGAAAAGACAGATGATAGTTTCTAGATTATCATCGACTGAAAGTACAGGCTTAGAAAGTACTTTTAAATGATTGACAGTTACATAATTGCCTGCTCTTTCAACAGAAACAGAGCTCTTTTTTTTAGTAATTAAGCCCATTGCTTTTTGGCGGACGCTGTCTTTGCCTTCCCTGTTGTCGATGCTATAAGTGACCTTAAGATGTGACTAAGGTTACGAGATCGGAAGTACGAATTGCTGGTTTTCTCATGAAGCTTCATAACGTCACCAAAATTCAAATTAAAGAACTATCAATCCTACTGAGTTTTTACTTCTATGAAGTGTTAGAGCAGCTGAAAACTAATATTTACTCAAATTTTCACTCTGAAAGGGCACTTCCTTTTGTGATGCAGTACGCTTGAATTTCTAAGCTTTTGCATGAAGCGACATTTACTTTGCGGCCACTGAGATTTGTTATGAAGGTAAAAAAAGTGACTTGTTTTGGGAGATTTTCATATCTGAACAACCATAGTTTTACAAAAAGTATTACTTTAAGAGAGAGATGAATTCACCCTTTCGTAGCAACACTAGTCAGTAGGATGTTTCGGTTAGTTTCCGGCCGCCATGTTGGTGCCCAACCGAATATGGTTGTGACTAGAATGGATACTTCAAAATCAAGTTGGAACTTTTAGAAAAGTGGGGAAATCATAGTATGAGACAGTTGTGCAAGGAAATTGGCTGTTCATGCCTCAGGGGCACCCAACATCAATTTTCGGAAAATATCTGTTTGGAAGACGATTTGAGATCTAGAATTTTCGAAACATTTGTTGTAAAATTTCTTGCTTGCCTGCCTCTCCTAGGATTTTCGAACATTTTTAACGGATTTTTACCCTAAAAAGGTCACCTAGAATTTTCGGTAGCCTTTTTTCTGGCTGAAATTTTCGAAAAGGTAAGTTTTGATCCCTGTAATTTTCGGATCACTAGACTTTCAGCTAGGAAATCCGAACAGATGAAAAATTTTTAGGGGACAAAAATATGCCTATATCTACCGTTTAAGTACGAAAATACGTTTAACAATGCTATGTTTAAGTGGACTTGAACTATATTCTCGTTTGATGCCCCTCTGACGTCGAAGCAATAACACCAGATGCTCGTGTATTTTTTTTCTAAAATTAAAATTATTAACTATGAGATGTTCATGAAGCAGCAATTAAAACAAAAATGTGGGATAAATAAGTATGTTCAACGACTTTAATTTCTGAGTTCCTCAGCTCGAAAAGGCTGCCGCTCTTCTGCAAGCAATTAAACGTATTTATTCATTTCACAGTTTTGACCTAAATAAAAGCATCACAAAAGAGCGCAAAAATCACATAATCATATACTTAAGAGCAGTTAACCTTAATGGATATCAGATATCGAATAACAACTTAGATTTAAGTAATTTAATGATAATTGACAAAATGTTTCATAACATAATAACGTAAATTTTAAATTATATGCCTTTTACCCACTTCAGAAGTCCTTAAGTAAAATACAGGAGGAAAACCATAAAGTCAAATGAAGTACAATCATTTTTAGGTCTTGGATTTACTGACGCGATCTTTTAGTGGGTACGGTGGTTTGAATTACGAGTCTGATAGAAATATGATGAAAACTTTTAACCCTGGTGAATATATGACAAACATATTTTTCTTCGATCAGTGACATAGGCGGCCTGGAAGAAAAGAGTAACTTCTCATAAATAACTATTTGACGGCTGTACTACAGTATTTTCGGTGTACTTTTGATTCTAATGAAAGGGATTAATATTTTAATTTTGTCCTATTTTGTCTTGATAGAATTGATCACTCTTGCAAATCAGTCACTCAGAAATATTAAGTCATTGAAGGGAATTATTATTTTTTGCTTGCTCAGAAATGACTGGCTGCTTCGTCATAATGAGGAAGCGTTCTGAAAATGAAGAAATTATTGCACTTTAACTTCGCTAAATTAAATTAAAAACCACTACTTGATTAGAGTTTCCAGTTAAGATTTGCAATTCAAAGGTACATCTGTTCTTTTCCCACTGAAACGAAATTGTTAGATCGGGAAAAAATCGCGAGTTCATTAAAAGTCTTGGTTTCTTTTTTCCTTTTTTGTTTTTTTCAACTTCGAGGCGAACATTACTATAGGTAATTCTATCAAAAATACCCATACTTTCTTGTGGTCTTGGACTGATTTGTTCTTTCAAGAAAGGCCTTAAGGGGGTTGCAAGAATTAATATTCCGAAGACAGTAAAAGCAACTGACAGCTTTATTTACGCCCTTAATTATGTTTACTGCTGATGGTAGATTGGTTGCTAATACTGAGATTAAACCCCGGGTTCAAATGACGGCTTTTTGTCATCATGGGCTGAGTTTGGCGGAGTGTTTTGCGCTGTTTTGAGTTGCCTGATTATGCTTTATATGTAGCCGCTAAGGATAAACAAGCGCTCAGCCTCGAACAAGTGCTCACCCACTCCACAACATCCCCCCCCACCCACACGCCGCCACGACCACCATCACCAAAAACTTCAGGATAGCCTTAGTCGAGGAAGTACTACTAAGAGGAGACCGAGTTTTCTTAGCATTTTAAAGCAACGTGCAATAAACACAATAAATAAAACAAACTTCCATCTAACTGAAGATGGGCAAAAATTAGTTATTATAAGCGCACAGCCTCCAACAAGCGCCCAGTAGATCCAAAATTTAATAAGTGACCAGGGCGCTGAATCAAATAAATACGTTAAAATGAATAAGGAATTCTATTTGCTCGCGAAAGAGCGGCAGTCTTTTCCGTGAGAAAGGCACTCAGAAATTGAAGCCATTCTACAGGTGCATCTTTATCCCAGATTTCTGCTTTAATTACTTCTTCACAAAATAATGTTTCAAATAATATTTGTTGATTAAGGGTTTATTTGAACTTGATGGATTTATTTTATTGGTCTACAAATGGTTACTCTCAAGAGGAAGAATGGAGAATTCTTCCTCAATTGTCCGTAACCGCCATTTGCTCACAAATATATTATGGCGCTTGACTACCTGAAAGGGCTATTCCTGTTGATATTTTCTTATTCTCCCTTCCGCGTCGCAGTTTTAATATAAATATATATCATTTTTTGGGGGTAATCCTTTTTTAATCACAGCAAAGAATGGAGGTTTGTTATATAAAAGAAAGTTAACCGTGTTGGCAGTTTTCATTTTTATTACAGTCTTGGAAGTGTTAACATCAAAGATGGCTCTAAACGGCTCAGAAACACCACCATCTACTAACTCATCAGCCATACTAACCTCTGTGGTTTCTTGCGTCCAAGAGCCAAACACAAAATGGGATCTAAATTACACTACTCGTTTGGGAAAAGCCGTAGTCATATCGGCTGCATCTCCCTTGACAGTTCTTTTTAACACCTTAGTAATGATAATTTTGAAGAAAAGAGAAGTATCAGTACAGAGGCGCTCGAACATTCTGTTGTTCAGTCTGGCCATTACAGACCTTCTTGTTGGTGCAATATGCATGCCGTTAGATGCAATTACGGATATATTTTATTTAGGCCAGTTTTCCCTTGTGAACATCTGTAAAATAAACCTGTTTAGCAGTTATATTTTCAATATCTTCATATCGGCTTCGGTGATCCACCAAACAATGATCGCTTGGGAGAGATACTTGGCGATACGAAAATGGATGGACTACAAGAACATTGCAACCAAAAGCCGCTTGAAGAAGCTGGCGACATTATCTTGGCTCTTTGCGATATTTTTAGGCTTTCCAATCCCCTCTCCAAAGTCAGGAACCACCCTGCTTTTCATTCTTGACTTCGTTAAAGGTCTTTTAAATTTGTTGGCTGTCATTTGCTTTCCTGTCTTAATCTTATACTTCTACCTCATGGTGTATCTCGGAATACGCAAAAGGAGAAAAAGCATCGTCAACCAAGTCACAGCTATGGCAAAACTGAAATTCGAGTCTAAAGTCACCAAGACCTGCGCCATGATCACGTTTGCCCTTTTTATCGCCGTAGCACCGGAAATTCTTTCCCTGGTTTTTTCTCTTATCGCGAGTCCTGAATTCATGTTTTGGCTTTCTCAGTTGTCAGACATGATGCTGCAATTAAATTCTCTGTTCACTCCGCTCATTTACTGGCTTACAGATAAACGTTACTGGAATGCACTGCTAGACTTGCTAAAAATTAAAAGGCCTCAAGCAATCCAACCTGCAAATGGCGTCATAAGGGAGCTGTCTGAGATAAAAAATGACCAAGTCCGAGAACCAGACGTTGTTCAAAAACAGCAAATTCGCTCGTCTCGATCGGCTTCCTGCAGCGGACTTCCTTCAAGTTCACAGCTGAACCATTCTGGAACTGAAGGACGATATAAAAGAAGGAAAGTTAGTTGTTAAAACATGGCTGCCGAGTGAGACTACAAGATCGATTCTCTCCTAGATAATCAATGACCTGAAGCGGACGGCGTTTTGTGTCAGCTTGTGATGTTTCGAAGTGTCTTTTTTTTTTCTTTGTCAAACTGGGAAATCCGATTTGGGATGGCTCACCTCGCTTGATACGCAGAAGGGTTGAAAAGCCTTAAGCGATTCTGGCCTTACTTGACAGCATTCAGGAACTGCATATCGAACGGTGAATTTGAGTAATTATTGTACTTGATGCTTCTTTTTTTTTTTTCTAATTTATGAAGTCGAGCGCAGTTTATGAGGCTAGTTTGTGCACGTTTGTACAATTACACACAATGATCTGACTAGTATCACAGCGAGTTCATCTTTAAAACGGCAGATACCGGGAAGCCGGCCTGAAACTTAAATTTAAGCTTTAAGGTTAAAGACTCAGGATTTTTAGACACTTTAATACTTGTCTTCGTGAAATGAAAATTTTTGTCTATGTAAATTTTTCACCGAATTATATTTGTTTTATTGATTGTTAGTTGTCTCTCTTGCAATTTTAATCGCTGTGCCGTTTGTTTTTAGTTGATCATGAACATCGCTTACAGTAGTACTCAAAATGCCGCGCGTATCAAACGTTTTTGAAGGTTTTAATACACATCGTTATAACACCGTTAAATAAATTCAAACACTTCGAGAGCCGAGCTTCCACTGCAAATTTGGCGCTTGTCAAAAGTGAGAACCGGCTAGCCGGGAAGGTGATTTTGGAAATTTTTTGAACGTTTTCGGTAAAAGCCCATTATTACCTTATACATACTACATAGGAGTAGATTGTTCTGACTGAAAAGTCCCGAAATTATGGAATTATCTTCATGCAAATGTTTCATAATGTGGTCAGTTTTATAATTTGTTGTGCAAAGGAAGCGCGTGCTTCGATCGTCATGAATATTAATTGTGAGTGCAATTAGTCTTGAAAAATTGTGAAAACTTTTAAACTGCATTCTGCCCGAGGTCTGTTAGCGTGCGAAAACATCCGTTTCTCTGTATAATAAAAGAACAGCGCCTCATAGTATTGTTTACCTCAGATGAGATGTATAAAAAGTATAAAAGGCTGCTTTACACACCACCAGATTTGTTGGCAAGATTTTGTAAAGTAAGCTTGTCGAACGCAAAAAATTTGGCCTGTTTTTTTTTGCCTCCCTTTTAGATAAAGGAATGCAACGTGAACCTATGAATTAGAAACCTGTAAATTGGCTGCCATCGAGGACTCGCTGGTTTAGTTACGTACACCGGTTTACATGGTTTCCCATATCTCTCTTTTATTTTTATGTAAACTGGTTTCAGCAAATCCTAAGGGATTATAAAATCTTTACCATCATTGGACAGCGCTTCTTTAATCCAATTAATGCGGTCCCAAGGGAAATACTCACGCCTCCTGGAAATTAAGAGGGGATGCCTCTTGGGCATCCTCTAAAAAAAAACAAAAAAATAAATAAATAAAAAGAGCACAAATGTTTGAAACACTGATGTACATAGGATATAAACAAATCACATATATTTTGAACAATGAGCAATTTCCCTGTTTATACTGTTTTGTTCAGAATTTGTTCAATATCATAAATGTCAGGTAATCCAGGCTCTTTGACAGTACACAGTACGGTCCCAGTAATATTACAGTTTTTGAAGGGGTTTAAACTACCATCCTATAATTTGTAGGAAATACTAATTAAACGTCATGGTCATGGACTATAGACTAAAAGCTTCCTATTGTTGAGAAAAGAGAAAAGGAGAGTATTCAAAAACAATTTAGCCATCGGCTGGTATATGTTTTTTTTCTTAATTTTTGCACATGCACGGGTTTTGCTTTGGCGATTCGCATTTTTCAAAAATGATCTTATAAAACCAAGAGAGGATAAAGGGGACAGAGAAGGCATCCCCCATACACACCCTATTCCATAGGTAAATCGTCTCGAGTTATTTTTAAGACCACAGATCCCAATTGGGATTAGACAACAGCCAATCACATAGTGCGAATGTGTTCCGCGTGGATGACCCACGCTCAGAGCCACGCGTCCTTCACGAAATGACGCTGAAAAAAATGGCGGAAGACACGGAGAGCGATACTGCTATTCGTTTTGTCGACGAAAACGACTAAACTCAGAGATTTCTACTAAAGCGGTGTCAGCGAAATGGAAATTAAAAAAGAATCGCCCTTCCTCTCTTGTATAGAGCTAACAATACAGCAGGGAAATCCTTAACACACTAAATATTCTCTCAGGATTATTTATAATTTACAGTTTGAAGAGAGCAATTTCTGGTTAGATATTTATTCTTTTACTAGTCTTTTATTATTAAAAAAAAAAATAACACTTGGCGTTCTACTTGCTTTATTGTACAAAAGACTGGTTTCAATAGACCGGCGAAATTTCTCATTTTATTAAAGCACTGAGGTTACGACAACTTCGAGTTAAACTGATTTCACGGATTGTCAAAGAGTCCAGCGATTCCATTTTCCCAGGTGAGCGCCGACTCATTTCGCCTCAATATTCAGAAATGCTCTCGATCTCTTTACGCTTTCATTGCCTTTCGCCTGACATGTTTTGCACGGCGTTTAGTCATGCGAAACCTCCACGAAACATCCACGCAGCGCGCGAGGTAACTTGATCCCGATTCTAAAAATAACTCGAGACGAATTACCTATGGAATAGGGTGTGTATGAGGGATGCCTTCTCTGTCCCCTTTATCCTCTCTTGATAAAACTTATTCGATTGCCAATGTATTTGTCACGAAAGTACTAATTGCGGACACTGTTTTTGCGCCTCCGACTTGAGACGGGACAGCCCGCCAGTTTACGTGGTCATCTGCCATGAGTCAAGGTCTAACCGCTTGCGTGCAGTGCAAAGAGGATACCTTAGTGTCAGGCCTGCTCCTCTGTAGTCAAGAGCTCTACCGACCGAGAATGGCTCAAGCGAACGGCATAGCCCTCGAGCAAATGTATTTTTCCTGACAAACAATGGCCAACGAGATTATTCTGTTCTCAAACTGCACACTCCGCTGGAAGGACAACCTTCTGACTGCCTTAGAGTCACCAGAGGTGGAAAGAATATTGAATATGATGGTACTCAGGCCCAACCTACCGAGTCCTAAACAGTTTATTGGTTGTCCCAGCAGGAAAAACCGTCTCGGCATCTTTTGATGTTTCGGCTGGATACGACGTGAGTGAAACTGGAACTTACACTGTAGCAGTGGACACGTATATAGAATATGTAGAAATTAATGTTAAGGGTAACGGCAAACCACCCATTCCCAAAAGAGCAGAGCATTTGTCTTCTCTACTGGTCATGTTTAACGTCACGGAAAATCCGTCTAGAAAAACTCTTGGAGAAAAGGCACGTTCCCTTGAGGCAAATGGTCTGGGAAAGCGCAGTCAGATTGGTAAGTGCTCCTCGTGATCCATCGATCGTAGGAGGATCTGCAAGCCAACGAGCTGCAGTAAAAGAAGCTCATCGGGCCGCATACCATTATATAAAAGCGGCCACCATTGATCTCAATCGCAGTCCTGAACGCGTTAAGACTTGGTTTGGAAAACTTAGCCAAAGAGTAGTTAATAACGTCCTTGAACTAATGAAGCATTCATTGGTAAATGATCAAATTACCTCATTCTTTTAGGGGGTATGATTGTCATTATGGTACTCTGGCTTACACGTATAAATGTAGTCGCAATGTTTACCTTAGTTTGTAGTACATGGTAAGACCAGTATATGTTTTGGGGCTTTAACAATAAGGTAGCGATTGTGATACACGAGTTAGCACATGCTAAGGGTGGGTGACCGACATAGTTTACGGTATACCAGACTGCAAAAAACTGTCCAAAGAAAATCAACATTCGGCAGCCAATAATGCTGAAGCCTATGAAATTTTTACAGAAACATTGTTCCATTCTGACCAAGGGATTGATGCTGCGATCACATTGCAAGACGGTGCCACTTATCTGTTCAAGGAAAACTTTTTTGTGAAATTTAACAATGTAGTCAGCGAAAATCTTTCTCAACGTTTTCCATCGCTGTTGAGTTGGTGTTTTAAGGATTTGCCTGGAACGTTCGCACGAGGTTTTGATAGCTTTGTCTGTCACAAGGCTTTCGGTAGAGCTTTGGCCACTAAAGGTGCCGATCGAGTACATTCGATTTAAAGACCCAAACGCAAATGGATTATCCTCAGGCTATCCAAAGTCTGGGAGGCTGGGATTTTGTGAATGTACCGCAGTTTTCATCTGGTTTTGATGCATTTGTTCAGCTCCCAAATGGCGTCACCTATGCAACTAAAGGTGACTCTTATGTAAGAGACTCCGACGAAAGAATAGCTTATGTTGAATAGTGGGGAATGGGGAAGTTTGCCAGAAAACTTTAGACGCGGATTTAATGCGATTGCTTATCTAACCAAATGGGAAACTCTATGTTTTTAAGGGTTCAGAGTATATTCGATATTCTAATTTCCCCCAGAAAGGCATTGATTTAGGTTATCCTTTATCGATAAAGGATAATTGGGGTAGGGTTCCTCAAACATACGACTAGTGATATGAAAACACGTGCGGGAGACGGCCTATTAAGTTAAAAGATAAAAAATGAAACGTAGAATAAACTAGAGAGGCACGGTAACATCCCTATACATGAGATAAAAACTTTGCTTTTACATCATTTCTGAACTTCCGGTAAATATTGTTAATCTTTCTCTACTTAAAAATGTTTTCCCGGACAAATTGAAACTTGCTAAAGTGATCCTCGTCAATAAAGCAGAGGACCCTAGTCATTTTGTAAATTATAGACCAATTTCGCTGCCACTAAATTTTTAATTTTTAGGAGGGAGGAGGGGGGTGGGAGATTTATGTACAACCGCCTTGTAGAATTTGCTGAAAAAAAATGCGAAATACATACTGTATTGCTGTCAATTTGGATTCCAAAAAAATCACTCGAAATCACATACGTTAATTCACTCAATACAGTCAACACTCGTCATCAAATCCTTTTTGCTAAGTTGGAGCACTTTGGTATTTGTGGTGCGGCTCTTCAGTGGATTAAAAGCCATTTTGCTCGCCGAATTTAATCTAGCTTGCTCCCCATTGCAGACCTTTCAGGGTGGTGTCCGTCGAGGTTCCATCTAGGTCCTTTATTTTTTATTTCTGTAAATAAACTGTCTTCCTAGTACTTCTAAATCAACTCAGTCTTCACTTTTGCTGACGACACCAATATCTTTTATTGTCACCCAGATCTCAGCTGCTTAGAATCTGTACTGAAGGACGAATTGCAAAATTTTGATCTTTGGCAGAAATGAAATAGACTCTCGGTCAAAATTTTAAAAAATAAATAAACAAATAAATAAATAAAACAGAATGAACTGAAAGACGTCATTGTTTATTCTCATCACATGTTTCCGGCTTCCTTTCGGTACAAAGCTCGGATTCAATGAACTGTGGTTACAACATTGTCAGATAACTGCAAAAGCCTTGATTTCTAGAGGAATAGGCCATTGGCTCAATGGCGTCATTTTACTACTACGACCAGAATCCTTTTCGTTTTTCCTTTCATATTCAGATTTAATAATCTCAGCAAGGTTTGATTAACAAAAGCCCTGAAGGGTTCTGGTCGTAGTAGTAAAATTACGTCATCATGCCAACGGCCTATTAAAGGCAAGTAGATCTGCAGTACTCACACGATTACTTCATTGATGTGCCACTACTCCATTAAAAAAAAGAAAAGGAAAAAAAAATCCACGTCCCCAAAAAAGCTGACTTCTTAAAAGCGGGATTGCACTGTCTTACAGTTTAATATAGGCTATGTTCACACTAGAGGAGACTTTTTCGATTAATTGCTTCCAGATTTATTATGTTTAAGGTATCTGGATTTGAAGGCGTTTACAAGCCTCGGTTTATTGGAGAAAGATCATTCAGATACAAGACTGAGAGTGTGACTCTAGTTTATTGATTCAAATCTCCCAACACGAGAGCAAGTCTGCACGTTTTTCTTTCGGAATCATGCATCTGCATGTAAAAGAGGAAATCAAAACTGTTGCTAAAGTGTTCCGGATTCATCACGAATACGTACAAGTCTCCTTCAATATAAACTTAGCCTTGTTGACAATGTTGCATTCAGTAGAATATCTATCGTCCTGCTGGAGTGGGTTCTGTTCCGCCAGGGGTGGGCTCTGTCCCTCCAGGACTAGGTGCCGAAGATCCCGCAGTGGGTCCCTGGGAAGGTCCCTCAGTAAGCCCATCAGTGGACCCGTCGGTAGGTCCCTGAGAAGGTCCTGGAGTGGGTCCAGCAGTAGGTCCAGTGGCGGGTCCCTGAGAAGGCCCTGGTGGTCCTTGAGTAGGAAGCTGGGTTGGTGTCAGAGTAGGTCGCTGAGTAGGTCCCTGAGTAGGTTTTGGACGAGGTCCCTGAGTATTTTTGGGAGTTGGTGCCTGAGTATGTACCGGAGGAGTGCCCTTAGTAGTTTTTTGAGTAGTTGCTGGAGGTCCCTGACTGGGTCCCTGTGTAGGTGCCGGAGGAGGTCCTTGAGTAGGTCCTTGAGTAGGTGCTGGAGGTCCCTGAGTGGGGCTCTGAGTAGGTACCGGAGGACAACACTCAGTAACTTCAGAAGTTGGTCCCTGCGTAGGTCCCTGAGTGGGTACCTGACTAGGTCCCTGAGTAGGTTCCGGAGGAGTTCCATGGGTAGGTCCTTGAGTGGGTGCCTGAGTGGGGGCCGGAGTAGGTTTTCGGCGTCGCCTAATTCGTGTACATAGTATTTTGATGGGTCGGCGTCTCCAGCGGTTCCTACGGCGTCTACGGCCCCATAATGCTATGCATATGATGCGACGTCCTTGATATCCTTGACCAAGCCTCATGACTTTGACGCTTATCCTGAATCGCCCACGTCTTCGGCATCTTCGTCGCCTACGCTGATAGTCTTCAGCTTCATGCTGATTCATTCCTAGTGAGGAAAACATAAGAACTGGCAGTAACCATCGGTTTGGAGGTGCGGGCGAACATGAGCTTTTACCTTAAAGGTGTGATTCATGTTGAGAACCGCTTTCATAATTGTGAGCGTGAATAAGAAAGCCCTATTTAATAGTTCCAGCATCAACAGAAGGAATCAAAGTAGATCATGAACGTGGAAATTAAATTCAACAACACAGTAAACAAGACTGTTATTGAATTCAACTATGCTACTCACAATTGCTTTTTAGTTCCCTGACAAGTAGCTTACCGAAAGGTGATGAGTGACTGTGGAGAGACGGCTGTATTCTCGTGAAAACGCACAACGTGAAATATACAGCCGTGACAGCACGAACTCTTATCAGTTATTCATCAGCCGGCTTTTCAATCAATGTTCGTGACCAAAGGTCATTGAGATGCAACAGTTTATATCTTATTGAAGCGTTGATATATCAAGCGACATAACATGCTTGAAAACATATAAGATATGAACCACTGACAATTGTAGTACGGAGAGGTGTAGCATGAATTAAATTTAATATATGGATTTATAAACTGTGCAATCACTTGTATCCCACCAAGGCTCGTCAAGGCTCGCACCAATAAGTCTTTGAATCTTGCATTTGATATTTGTATTGGAGAAATATTGACTCCCTAGAAAGAGGATAATTCGCAATCCCCATGAAAGAATCAAAATGGCTGGCCTGAACTCGGTGTTTTGCCGATTGGCATCTCGTTTTTCAATCTATCTCTATTCACTTCGATTTCAAAGTCTAATTTGTGAAAAGGCAATAACAAAACAATCATGCCCAATGCGTTATTTGAGTAACCAATGTGTGAAAAAACTAATACCACAGTACCACTACCACGAGCAGACGACGTTTCATTTTTTCCATGTATAAGTAGAAACACCTCCTCAAATTATTTGATATTTCACGAAAAGAAAGTAAAGAAAATTGCTACTATGAAAGTGTTTTAGATATCCGATCTTAAGAACCTCAAAGTTTTGCGACCTTCAGATAAGAATTTCTTCAAATCATGCTTTTTCATTTGAGAACACTATGCTTAGGCCTCTTGTAGGTCAAACGTCGAACTTTTCATGAGACGAAACAGGCTCTAATTTTGGTCGACCTGAATTAAGGTAGGACCTTCTGTTGGGTCAGACGTCGAACCGATCAACTAAATCAGACCAAAAAAAAATTTTCATAAAATTTTCCCGCACGAGGCTAAATATACCAATACAATACAAATTTTTAATTTGTTAGTTTAGTTCTTTGCATGGGAACGAGATCGCTCATTGTCCCGGAGACGATCTTCAGACGTATCTGTCCGTCTGAAACAGACGGATAGAACTTGTAGTACGATCCAAACTCATTCAGACGAACTTAACTCACAAATTTTCTTTCGGCTCATGAAAATTTTCGTTCTTTGGCCTTTTGCCTTAGTGTTTCATTCGATATTGATATCGGTCTCTTGAAATCAGAGGAGGCATTTCAATAGGCCAAAGTGTGTGTGAGTGTTTTTTAATTTTTAATTTTTTTTTTTATCAGATCTGAAGTTCTTACCTTCGTTATCATTTTTTGCATGTCTTGAAACAGCTTCTAGCTCATTTTCTTCCTTCACTGCTGTTTCATCATCTTCATTTTCATTCTCTCTTTCCTCATCCTCGCAGTCGTTATCCTCTGTGTTCAGTTGATCTAATAATAATGATAATGACAATGATAATGATACTGATAATAATATTTTAATTATCCTCTCCCCTTGTGCGGCTTTTGGGGGATAATGAAACAAACAATATAAATGGAACATGTCATGGTTAAAAATCCCAAATGGTAGGAGGAAAACCAGTTGCCTATGTTACAAGAATGGCCGAGGATTTGAGCGCGCGCTGGACTTGGATTTAGTGCAGAACTTAAACTGGAGACCACCGAATTAAAAGTCCAGCACTCTAACAGCTCGGCCAGGCTGCCTGCGATCTTCATGCTGACCTTCAATTTTATTTCCTTCGTTGTTTTCGTCTAGTTCATCCAGATAGTTTTCATCTCCATTATTATTTTCAATGACATTTTCATTCTCTTCCTCTCCATTCTCTCTAATGTCTGCATCGTGATCTTTCTTGTTTCTTCCATGTTTATTTCCTTCTTCCATGTCCCGATCTATGTCCCCTTCATCATAATCACCATTGTTCTTGGCCAAATTTTCAGTGCCTTGGGTCAAAGCACCCTTTCCAATATCATTTCCAAAATCTTCGTCGAAAACATCGTCCAACGCCGATCCTGTTTTTCTAGGTACTGCTGCACAGCTGCTGAAAACTAGGAACAGGTAGCAGAGAACCAAAAACATGCTGCCAAACCATCGAACTACCAACATTTTCAATCTCACTGCTTTCGACCTCCCGCAAGCTTCTCACAGGCGCATCCTCTCGGAAAATGGCAACCTGCGAGCCTAAGGATATTTAGGAAAAAAAAGGCCTTGATTCAAGGCCTAATTATATAGTTATTACTTTATTTATAGCTAGAATTGCGCCTTTCTAATTCGGTGATGTGTGAGCAACAAATTCTAATAAGTACTTTCTATTTCAGTGCCGACTATATTTAACTTATCTTCAGATAAGTTCATGATTGCTACAGGCACAATATTGTGCCATAGAATTCATTGTTTTTTTCTCGTAAAAAGTCCAAAGAGTGTCCAAGGTCAATTTTTTCCTTACTATATAATACATAATGTAGAGAAAATGTTTGAAAAGCTTTGATCAGCAAACAAATTCTCTCAACCAATTCTTTAAGGAAATGTAAGGAGATCAGTCTGGAGAATCTGTATTTGGATATTGGGACTTAAGGCAAATAAATGGGTGCATATGGCCTCATAAGATCGTAGTCAATGCTTCAATAAATGTGAGATAATTTTTGATGATTTTCGAATGTTTTAAATGCATAAAAATTTACAATTTTGGAATAGGGTAAATAATGGAAACTTGGAAAATAATGGAATTCGTTGTTGTCAAAAATTATGATATAAAATATAGGTGGACTAATACCAGATAGTTCACCACCGAAACAAGGTACCTGGGAGCTTATTAGTAAATTAATTTTATTCAATGTGTACACCTAATTTTCTACTCCATTGTTTTCCCTTCTCAAATCAATCCTATTTTTCCCGAAACAAAAAAACAACCGTGAAGAATGCCCCCTTAATTTTTGGCAACCAATACTGGCTTTTTGTTGAATGAGTCCTCCGATATTACAATCATCAAAACAATTTTTTTGAAGTTGTTGTTATGCAAAATTAGGTTTGAACATATTGTTACTTCTAAATTCTAAATTTAATGGCCAATATATATTTGTAAGGCACTTGCTCAATGTCGTCCCAAATCTATGAATACCCACTTGCTTTGGAGATATATTGTAACTAAATATTTTCTTTAAAAAAGTGTATCGCGCTTACTGTGCAAAATACTTAGTTCTCACTAAAATGTTAGTCAATGTTCTTTCAATGAATCAGATTTAAAATTCAAGTATTTTTCGACCAAAAGAAACGAAAGTGAAATTATACCTCAAACAAATTTTGCTGATAGAGCAATAATAAAAGATTTCTAAAAATTATTGGCTTCTTAAAGCGCCCCCTTTGACACTAGACTAAGAGAGATTTTGAGAGATGAATCATCGCACATTGTGTGTTACAACATAAACACATTCTGAAACATTGAAATGGTGTGTTTCAACAATTAAGCGGATATAGACACCCCCACTACCAGCTACCAGTTACCTGAGAGCAAATATATGTGTTTTTCTGTTTTTATTATGTTACAGAACAAATGGCACATGGCTCCGTGCGTTTACTTTTGAGTTATGAACGCACTTAGAAGGATTGCTAAGTTCTCAAAAAGCTAGTCAGTCGCATTTTCTTGTGGGTCCTTGATAGGTTTTTCGGGATTCGGGATACGGGATCTTAAAGCAAAATGGGGGCGAGATTTGGGATTGCAAGTTTGCACGGAAGGTGGGATGTTGAAAATAACCATCAGGGTTATAGGATTGCGTGGAAATCTGGGTCGGGATTACGGGAGTAAAGAAACCTTTTGAGGACTCTCCTTCTTTTGTGCTTAGCAACGTTCCTGTGTGTACATCCATAACTCAATAACTCAAATACAAAATAAAATAACTACAGTACGGGTTTTGAAATGTGTGTCAGTGGTGGTCAAAGTAGCGAAAGCTTTCTAGTTGACCACCACCTACTTTTAAATAAAACGACTGAAGAAATGACACTGAGCTTTACATAGAGAAATTTTGTAGAACCTATGACTAATGCACAGGCCAATATTACATGTATAATTATAAAGGTACGTTAGAGATATACTAAACCAAAAGAGAAATCAAGACAAAACAAACTAGCAAAGAAAAAAAGAAAAGAAAACAACAAGAAATAATAAACGCTGACGATGTTACCATTCGGTATTGGACATTATCTTAATTCAGACTTGTTTTGGACGTTCCATATAATTTTAGCGAGAAATCAAGTTGTTTGGGATCTGACATGGTCGAGTGTTTCATATATTGTCGATGGCATAACCCGTGGTACAAATTGACCAAAATAAGGCCTTTATCAAGCTTTCTTAACATTTCATAGGTAAAACGAATATTTGACTCACAGCTTTTGTGTGCAGTCGCCGGCATTCAATAAAAACACTTTTTTGTTTCTTTTTGTTTTGTTGTTGCTGTTGTTTCAGATCGAACGTACTTAGTTATCTAACTCTTTGCACTTGGTGATACAAGCCAAATTGCGTGCCTTTCCTCCTGGTTCTTCCTTTGTTAACACTGCCAGAGGAAGGGATAAACATGAACTAGGAAAATAAGACATTACAAATTGGTCTTTCGCTCGAATGGACGGGTGGACGTCACATTGGCCAGTAGAATCACCTGTGACCTTGATTGCTGTCAAATTTTACAGTCGGTGGCAATAGTATAAATCGCCTTTGTTGCTGGGCTGCCTGTGGCACTCAATTACAATTTACCCTTCTTTGTCGGTGACGTGAGATCGTGTTTCAAACATGGTAAAATATTGTCTGATGCTCGGTGGGAACGAACGAAGCTTGCCGATCGAGGAACGAAGCAGCGAAAAGAAAAAGAGACAAGGAATGGAACTAAAATACCACATGACTCCAATGTGGACGTCCGTACTTTACTGGTGCAGGAGCCCATAACATTATGGGCTCCTGACTGGTGACGGAAACGGAAGTCACGTGGGTTTGCTGTCGCACCGAGCAAAGCAGGGAACTCCATAATTCTTCATATAATACAAAAGCCGAATTCAATAATTGTTTTATTATTCATTCAAAATAATTCCTAGTTTAAAAACATAGCTAAAACATGCTTATCTCCATCGATGACGATGTTTTTTTTTTCCTCCATCCTAAGATTTTCATAAGCTCATTGCCGTCAGCATCATGACTGGAATGAGTAGGAATGCGAGCAGCGCGGTTTTGGAGTCTTTGCAGTTTATGCAAAAGAGTTTTTGCCACAATTATCCCAGATAACATTACAATAATCAAAGTGCGATTGAACGATACCCCGATAGATATATCATGTAGAGTTGCCGGAGGTACATAGTGTATGATTCGTTTGATAGCTCCAATACCAGCAGCAATTTTTTTTCGATAATATGTCGATATGGTTAACCCAAGTAAGATTTCCGTCTATGATTATACTGAGAGATTTGGTTGAATAGACTTGATTTATACCAGTGACATTAATTTCTATAGCTGTTGGAGAAGGTAAATTATTCAATTTTTGCCTTGTACCAATTGACATAAATTCGGTTTTAGTCATATCAAGGGTCAGTTTATTTGCCGTCAGCCAATGACTAATATTTAGCAGATCTCGATTTAGAGAGGACTGAATGGAATAGATTTCGTTACCAGCACATGTTAAATGAATATCATCAGCACACATTCTAGGTTCTGAGCTCGATAAACAACTTGGTAAATCATTAATGTAAAGAAGGAACAATAGAGGACCTAGTATTGTTCCCTGGGAAACTCCGCATAAGAGAGTGTAAGTATTAGAAAGGGAACCGTTAACAAAGCATTGCTGAGTGCGATTGTCTAAGTACGAAGAGAGCCACCTGTTGGGCGTTCCCATTTATTCCATAAAGATGTTATTTAGATGTTAAATTATGGTGGTCGACAGTGTCAAATGCTTTCTTAAGGTCTAAAAGACAACGGCGTTTACGTTTTGACGATCGATGTTATAGGCCCAGCTATCGGTGGTTTCTAATAAAGCTGTAACGGTCGAATGAAAGAAACGAAAGCCAGATTGGTGTTTGGATGGAATATTATGCTCAGAAAGGTAGTTAGAAAGCTTACTATAGACAATCATTTCAAAAACTTTTGCTACCACGGAGATCACCGATACCGGCGGACGATCGTTAATTCATGTCACTCGTTTCACCTTGTTTAAATAACAGAGTAACTTTGGCTGCTTTCCAGTCATCAGGAAAAATGCCAGTAACTAGAGATCGATTAAAGATAAGTGTAAGATATGGCGAAATAACATCGTCGCAATATCGAATAAGCTGACTAGATATTTTGTCAATGCCGCTGCCCTTAAACGTATTGAGTTTGGTAATGTTAAAACATGTCTGTCATTAGTAGGACGGAATTGAAAGCTTTTGTCAATGCCGTTCATTATATTTCTGATAGCTGGTACAATTGCCGTTTGATAAAGGAATTTCATTAGCAAGTTTAGGTCTGATTGATGAAAAGTGATCGTTGAAAGCATTTGACAAATCGGGAGCATTAATTATCGAAATTCAAATAGATGACTTGTCAGACTTACGCGAGGTAAGCTCATCGATCAGTTGCCAAGTCTTACCAGGATCATTGTCAGTGTCCGTAAACTTATATCTACTAGTTGTAGCTTTCGCTAAGTGCCAACGAAAGAAAAAGAATTTGCCTACATCACCGGTTTTAGTTCCTATCTTTATAAAACCATTTCAGCTGCTGAGGCGAGAATTTCCACTACAGGCACTCCTCGCTCCTACATTTCTGTCATGCTCTTGACCTTTAAATTGCTCTTATTCTTCTGCTTAGACATTTGGAACCTTAAACTTGTCGAGTTTCAAACAGCGAAAGGGAAATAACCGACATTCCGGACTTGAAATAGCGAGTTGTAGTTCGTACAAGTACAGTAGTGTGGCAGAGAACAATGGCCGAGCTTTGAAGGTTTGCTTACAACAAAGGTCATCAAAAGTCGCGTGAAACTACTCGTGAAATCTAACGCCACTAAAATCCCCAGGTAATCTGCACCTTACATTTTTCTGGCCGTCTCGTAAGCCGACCGTCTTCGCTCGGCTTGCTCGTTGGCAATAACATAATTCTTTGGCTGATTTAATATCGGTGTTTACTTTATTGCGTATTCTCCTGAAGTTTGCCCAAGCATGCGGATTGTTGGACTTAATGGCATGTGCATGCGTTGTTTTAAATCTATAGAAATCCGGGGGGGTAGAACGAATACGTTTAGACCGATCACGCTTGCCTTGCGCAGTGATGTAGGAGCTGCTCGTAAGGTGTTTAATTCTTCATTGGTCGCAGAAAACAATAACACATCATCAGTTATCATTATTTCCCATTGTTTCATGGTTAGGGTATCGGACCAAAGGGCTAGGAGAGCTGCTACATGATTCACTTTGCAATCCTTCTGGGAGTTACGCGCGGTGCACGCGCTCTGCGCGCTACGAGATTATAAACCTCGATCCGTTCTGAATGAAGCAAGAATTTATTCAGATTTCACGAGAATCCGTTGTGAACATTTTATGGACAACAAAAACAAACTGCAGAGTAGGTTCCATTGACTTTTATTTAATATTTCCCACAAGTTTTAGTATCTTAACATTACCCCTTACACCAGACTGCCCTTACACTGTAATTATACATATTAGGTTTGTCAGTTTGGTACTATCACTTAGCCTGGGTCAACTGTGCGTAATAAGAGCCTGTTTTGTCTTCATTTATTCAAAAGGGCCACTCTAATAAAAAAAATAATAACATAAATCAGAATTCAATAATTACCTTTTTTAGTTGATTCCTCACCCTTGTTATGATTTTTATATTTTTAAGTAAAGGTTAATGCCATTTATTCTGATACTTTATTAGTTATAGCGGCAAACAGCTGAAAAATTCAGAATTGTTTTGTGTTGGCTGTTTGTTGGCCTCAGCGATTCAGGGTTTGTGTCAGTTTATTCACCTATTATAACTAATAATTTCGGTAGTCTTTTGTATTTTAAATTTCTGATTTCGAACCTCCAGCAAATTTCTGCAGCCCAATTGAAAGACGTAAATAGGCCGATTTAGCAACATAACGGGAATGTCATTTGACAACGGCGCGCGCAAATCAAACATCTGGCTTGACCAGTGGCAGAAGGGCAAATTGGGCAATGGAAGTCGTATTTGGTCCTTCCCGCGCGCTTTCAAGTCGTCAACTGACGTTCCCTTCCGTTTTTCCCGTAAATTCACATTTGTTGAAATTTGTCTCATTATGTAATGATTTACGTATTAATTTGTTATCAAATCATGCTGATGACACTTGACTGTGGTAATCATTGTATTGCATTATCATTTTTATAAATTGTTTTTTTATGTTAAAGCTTTTGCTATACTGTAACTACATAATTATAGTCATTCAAATAAATCTTATGTTGTTGTTGTTGTTGCTAAATCAGCCAAATAAGACTAGGACAACGGCTGATTGACGATTGATACAAAGACCCAAAAGAATCCCTCCAGCTTCCCTACAGCTGACCCAAGGGCTTTGTAGAATCCAAAATACTGGCCAGTTTAACAAGAGACGGGGATTTTCTTTACTCCCCCCATGATCTTTAATTCAACCATGCTAACAATGTTGCCCTTCCCGGAAGTGCATGACTTGGACATTTCTGATATCTCTGCTTCACTCAGCACACGATCCCAGACATTGATGCCTGCCATTTCTCCGACGAAGGTAGATTGAGAGAAAAAACTGCTTCCGGAACTGTCCTTGTAATATTTTCCATATACCATTCTGCCTTCCTCGACGGTGATCGCTCCTATGTAAAAAGAAGGATTTAGTACTTTGACAGGTCTATATCGGAGTGATTTTTCAGTTGTTTAATTTAATAGAGAACTTTTTTTTTAGCGTTAGGATTAAGGGAAAACATGTTCTTTTATTTTTATTAGAATCAGGAGACCGTTCTTGAAGTAACCACAGCCGTAAACCTTGCTATTGCCCAATTAAAACAATATCTATTACGCTTGCTCGTTTGTTACTGGTGAGAACTCGAACGTCACCGAACGAGGGTAACTGTTTTGTGTTGTTCTCAAAACGCCCTGATAACCTAAAACATCCTCTACAATATCCCTGATTCAAATCTAGCTCACTATTTCTAGAATTCTGGTCAGAAATTTCGAAATACCGATATAAAAAACACAGTACTCCCCAGTTTACCAAACATCCATATGGCTGATAATTGGCGTGCAATGGTCAGTTGTTTAGTGTGTAGTTCATAGGATCGCGTAGCGCGGGTGTTTTGTGTTCTTTTCTTGCCGAGTCCTATGGAGCCTTACTTCATCCAAGGACCTATTTCTCTAAAGTATCTCTAACTTTTGGGACTGGAAATCAAATATTCAAATCAATATCTAAACGACAAAAAGGCTGAAAGATTTTTGCCAAAAAAAGTCCTTTTTGTTTTGGTAACTAAAATATTTTATTGATATTAACTGCAAAAGTATTAAAACCCCGATGTTGAATATAAACAATAACAGCTTTCTGGGCCTGTTAATCATTGCGATTTGGTAAATGTAACTTCTCTTTAAGGGTAGTGGAATGGGAGAAGCCTGTATTGGAGAATTTGCTTGGGTGGATCTTCTTACAATGATACCATTGGTTGAGCGTAAAGACAATTGGATTGACTTGAGTGAGATGATCTAATAACTCATCCTTCAAAATTAAATGATCATCATCATTATCATCATCATCTCCATCATGCTCGTCGGAATCAAAGAAAGGCAAGTCACCTGGATCTGCTAAAGATGCCTTGAATGTTCCATCCACGTACACCTTCCATTCGTCTGATCCCTTTGTTATGCAGTAGTTGCTCCACTCGTTAAAACGTATCAAAATGTTTAAAGTGCTATTAAAATATTCAAAACTAAAAGTTAGTAATGCGAGCTACAAAGAGGATATTTTATGGCCGCGCGGAGATACAAAATTTCCCTTCAAGTGTTAGAAGGCAAAGACGCCTTGAATGTTCCATCCGCGTACACCTTCCATTCGTCTGATCCCTTTGTTATGCAGTAGTTGCTCCACTCGTTAAAACGTATGAAAATGTTTAAAGGGCTATTATAATATTCAAAACTAAAAGTTAGTAATGCGAGCTACAAAGAGGATATTTTATGGCCACGCGGCGATACAAAATTTCCCTTCAAGTTTTCAATACGAGAAGAGAAATGTCGTGTCTCCAAGCAGCCATGTAATGTTCTATTTATTATATAGACACCAATGAAATACCAAACCATTTCAGTTAGTAGTTTTTTTTGCTTGAAAGGCGCCATTTATTATGTAAGCATAGCAACGGTGGCCTTTTCACATGTGGAGAAATCATGTTTCACGTGGTATTTCACTGGTGTTGTTAAAACAAACTGGGTTTATTATCTTAGTCAGTTATTTTGCAACGTCCAGAAGTTAGTTTTTTTGAAGTCTTCATATTCTTTGCCTTAGCCTAAAACGAAACCCACCGTTTACATCCGAAGATTGATTGAAAAAACATGCCACAGAAATGTACTGGCAGGACTTAGTCTAACATTCCATTCCGTTCTAGTGGGTACAAATACAGTTGTTAGTGTGCAACACACGGGCGAGCCACCATGTGCGACCGGCTTTCATAAGTGAAATTAAAAATTTCCCACCATAAGCTACAACATTCTTAAAACTGTACGACTAAATATTTCCAAGCTAAAGGCTTATCGCTGAAACAACTCTTCCGTAACCGATTCCTCTTCCTTGAACGAGGTGATTGTTGCATTTTCTCCATTTTAAAACCTGTTTCAAGCAAGCACCTAAGGTGCGGATTGATCCCTTTGTTCACCATACATACTAGACTTTTACTACGAAGAATTTTCAGAGACAACCGCTTAGACTTGCGCTTAGATTTGTTCTCCAAAGACACCCCCTATATGATTTGATCCTCGTAGGCTACCTGAACGATCGACTCGTGCATAACTAGTTCGACCGTAGTTGTGAGTCTTGAACTGTTTATATTGTTAAACGTGTCACATCAACGTTCAATGTAGAAATGTTCCTTAGTTAAACGTGAGATGCAGCCTGTACAGTACTCTTGTGTATGTATGACCACAGTCTGTCCAAGATTTGAACAAGTTGTCGACGAGAACGTGTTATAGACGACTATGACAAAGTGTAACAAATCACATGTACACACACAAAAATGCATATAAATGACTTGAACTTCAAATGCTAGCATTATTCAGAGTTAAGACCACAACAAAGGTTTTTCATCAGTTACCTAAATCCACCTTTCGTTTTCATCACAAGCTTGTTAGATTGTCGGCCCAAGAAAAGCTGCCAGCCAAGAGTGCAGAAAACAAATTCAGAAGAAAAAGAAGAATCTCTAAATTTGACCCAGGTACATGAAGTTAATGCATCTAATGGCTCATTCAAGCCTTCAACTTCAACTTCAAGGTAGTCAGCTATTGTATGACTTTCAAACAGGAAACCCTCTCTTTTGGCTGACTCACAAGCTATAAAATAGAAACATATATACCATACTGCAAATTAAGAAAATCATAGGTACCCAATGTAAGGGTGAGATTAATGTTTGCAGATCCGAGGCTTGGGTTTCACAATGGCAAGCGAGGGAAATTCTACAACACCTGAGCAAAGCTCTGAAAACTTTGTGTTGTTTTGTTTTGTTTAATAAAGTTTAACATGTTTGAAAACTGAAAGTGGCGTTGTTTCCCGCGGAGTCCTAGGTCGACTTCGTCTTACTCAGGCACAATTTTATGTTTTCAATTAAAAAAAGATTCATTTTTTGAGGGAAATTAAAACAAAGGCCCGTTAAAAATTGAGTTTACTATCCTTGTTTAGTTTTCCAATCATATTCAATAAATCCCCACAATATATAAAACAAATGCGGTGGAGGCTGGAGTATTTATTTATCAATCATTTTTTAACTCTATTCAGACTGGGCTTTTTTGGTCAATCTGTGACTGGGGGCTCCTCGGACCCCCCCTCTGTATCTCTGGAACCAATAATGCTAGGGTCATGAAATTTACACACAATGATCATCTCCGTACAAAGAAGCCCCACACCCAGTTTTGACTTGCCACGCCCAATGATGACGTCACAGTGACGTCATATTCCGATTTTTCGATGTTTCTTATTATTTTCCACTTATATACGTAAAATATCAATGATATTGGTAAAGTCATCTCTTTAATATAATATACAACATATATGCATATAAAATACACACTTTGACATGTGTTTTGACACTTTAAAGGTGCTAATGACGTCATAATTGCCAAAATTTGAAATGGTTGCCCACCATCTTGGATCCGCCATCTTGGATTTCCGTTTTTTTGTTAAAATTATAATTTAAAGCAACTTTCAAAGGGAAAAAAGCTCAGAATGTATAAAAGAAGTATCAAACTAATGTTTATTACCCAAACAAATGACTTTGGAAGTGTTATTTGGAAAATAGAGCAGCATATTTGTCAAAGCAAAAAAGTGACAAATTTTACCCCACCCCTCCCCCCAAATATTCGATGTTGAAACATTTTGATGTAATTCAAAAACTAGTCCCAAGCAAAGACCATTTTAACAACAAAAAGCACTATAAGTGTAAAAACGCGATCTTAAAACAAAAAATCACCATTTTTTAAATTTTCCAAAACCTATGTCTCAGAAACTGGTTGCCATGGCAACATGATTAATCACATGGACATGGTAATTATACCAAAATGTTCCTAGATAAATTTTAGGAAAAGTCAGAAAATTTGAAAAGCTCTTTCGGTGTAGGAAGAATTTGGAGCCAAATAGGGTTAAACCAAAAAAAGAAGTATCATGGAGCCAAACTATAATCCAACCCAACATCGCATTCGCGCAAAGGTTATGATTGATATTTAATAACGGTGCATAATAATATTTCTTAATTAAGACTTGTGTGGGGATGCAATAAACCTTCTCCAAATTTCAAACATTGAAGAAAATTTAGAATAACAATGATCCGCTCCATGCATTTATTTATTTATTGCATTTGCTGATATAAAAGACCTTCTCAGGCTGCCTTGAGCAATCTGCGTGTGAATTATTGAAATAAATCCCTTTTTCAATTAATACCATCATCACTATTATAGCAAAGTTAAAGGATATTGTTATGGAATAGTTTGTTAAATTCTAGCTAGACCTCACAATAGACCTCTTTAGCTTAAATGTTTTGTTTTCCCAATACAGGTCATGTGATAATACTCTAGACAACTGTTTCTCTCTAATCTCGTCTTATTCACGTGCATATGTACGCATAATTTATAAACAGCCGAAGGGTCGGATTCCCCAGGGACCTCTATTGGGAAAACAAAACATACAAGCTGAAGAGGTCTATTTACAGTGGCCCGATTGATTCCTTGTTGCCTAATATCGCCTTTGATTCCAGTGTATGTGCGCAGAGGAAGGATCTAAAGTCAAACTAGTTTAATTTGTTTTCAGTTTACTTGGTTAAAGAGAATAATACAGTGAAGTAAAATGTTTCTCACGTTCACACGGTTCCATAGAGGCGAGTTGCTTCTCCAATTCTTCAACCTTTTTTTTGAGCTTCCTAACACGAGGACCTGTATGGATCACTTTAACTCGGCCTGCCCTCTTTGGTTTTGTCATGCGCCCTGCATGGACTCCTGATTTGATCTGCTCCAGTAAGGTAATCAGCATCACAAAGGCAACAAAGGCAATCAACTTTTACCAACCATGTCTGTAATATCAAAAATAAAACGAATTAAACTATGAATTTTGATTAATAATGATTCAGAGAAACATTAACATATGCGTTAAGGATATGAATATGATCGTGCGTAACAAAATGCGCAATAGGTATACAAATTTTAAAAACATCCTCAGAGCAAAGTTTTAAAGGTAAATCAAATATTTTATTCGAGATCGCTTGAACTTCAACACTGATGTAAAATGTTAGTGTTAGGTTACGGAAAAGAAAGGTTGTAACATATTCCCAGTAGAGGGTTGTTGATGGCCGATAAAATGTTCAACTTTGAGGCTCACAGATTTGACATTAATCGTTTAAATGTTATAATAATTATCATTTTTTTATATTTCTGTACCTATATATATTTAACACTTGAGTACCTTTTTATCCTAAATTTTAGGATCTAAGTAACTATTGAAGAAGATTGTTGGTTCTTCAATGTTACCTGATAAAATGGCAAGTACGGTGTGATGCGGGAGTTGTAGCTACTCACCTTTCCTTATGTCACAGATATTCTTGATGAAACGCGTTCTATCTCAAGGTTCAACAGATTCCCACAGAAACGGACTGAACATCGATCGACAATTGGTGGAATACAGTGAATTTTATTTAACAATTAATCGCCGAAGGCGACGTGAATATCGGCGAATTTTCGTCTCGGTGACTATTCGCCGATATTCACGTCGCCTGAGGCGACCAATTGTTTTAGTATAATTACATTGATGATTAATCGAGAAAATAAAATTATTGATCAATTTCCGAATCCGAAACATCAACAAATCTGGCTGCCATTTTAAGCCTTCAATGTTATAATCACCGCGCGGTGATTATAGCGAAATGAAGCGAAGCTCCTAGTCAATCATAGCGCTCTATTTTCGGTAATCATCAATGTAATTAGACTAAAATGACATAGATAGAAAGAAATGGGTTACACCCACGGAACGAAAAACTATCCTAATACATACTTACTATCTCTTAGGCAATCATCTCTTGGCTACAGGCAGTTTTAATCAGATTTCATTCAATGGTAAAATTCGTCATAACAATCGTACTTACAGGGTGCATTTGACTTAGATTTTAATGGTGAAGTTAACAAATGATTTTCTATGGAAAATAAGATACCAAGAAAACTTTAATTTTGTAGCGAAACAACGTGATAATAAATGGTCTTTTTAAACTTCCTGCTTTTTTGGGCGAAGAATGCTATCATTACATTCATGAACATCTCCATAAATATTTGCTTATAGCTCGGTTAAAATTTGGAAAAATTTACAAGGTAGAGCAATTTTATACCATTTGGAAAGTGCAGTGTAATTCATATTCATATCCCCAATCTTCATGCGTATCAATTAAACTTTCAATGTCTAAGTTCAGCTAAGTGCAAGGCACAGTAACTATGAAATGTGCATATAAATTTCAGTTAGGACCTCTTTAGACTTGTGAACCCTCGATAAATTCCCTTAGCCTATTCAATAGTTTTTAGTCTAACTTGTTACGTATTTGTCAATAGATACTTAGTAAGGAATTAAGGTTTTTACCTTTACTTTTTGAGAGGAGCAGTTTTGTCTCACAACAATAATGTAAAAATCTTTCGGGTGAAATTGAATTCAAAGCAAATCACCGCCTTTAAAAGGGTCTATATGCAAAAGCCATGAGTGATATTTTATTTAACTAAGAATTTCAAGGGTTTTACGCTTGGACTGATATATTCATAAAAAGGCAACAAAATGTGCAATAAGTATACAACTTCTAAAAATCGAATATTTCATTCGAGTCTTGCTATCATCATTGATGTAAAATAATAGACGTGTTAGGTTACGCATCAGGAAGGTTGTAACATATTCCCAGTAGAGGATTGTTGATGGCCGGTAAAATGAACAACTTTGAGGCTCACGGATTCGACATTAATCGTTAAAAAGTTATAACAATCACTACTATTTTTGTAAATTGTACTTATATATATATTTAAGACATGCATACCTTTTATCCTTACCTCATAGGATCTAAGTAACTCTTGAACGAGATTGTTGGTTCTTTAGTGTTACCTGATAAAATACCAAGTACGGTGTGATGCTGGAGTTGTAGCTACTCGCTTTTCCTTATGTCAAAGATATTCTTGACGAAATACATTCTATCTAAGATTCAACAGATTCTCACGGAAACGGATTGAGCGTCGATCGACAATTGGCGGAATACAGTGAATTTTATAATCAGATAGCTAGAAAGAAAAGGGTTACACCCACGGGACGTAAAACAATCCTTAGGCTAGTACATACTATGTATTAGGTAATGATCTCTTGGCTACAGGCAGTTTTAATCAGTTTTCATTTGAGAATGGTAAAATTTGTAATGGAAATCGTACTTAACAGGGCGCATTTGACTCAGGTTTTTACCGTGACGTTAGCAAATGATGTTCTGTTCATGGAAAATAAGATACCAAGATAACCTTTCTAGTGAATAACAAATGTAATAATTTATGGTCTCTTTAAACATCCCGCTTCTTCGAGCGAAGAATTCTATCATTACCTTCATGAACATCTCCATAAACATTTACTTACAGCTCGGTTAAATTTCGGTAAAATTTATATGGCAGAGTAGTTTTACACCATTTGTAAAGTGCAGCGTAATTCATGTTCATATCACCAATCTTCATGCTTATCAATTAAACTTTCAATGTATTAGTTCAGCTAAGTGCAAAACACAGTAACTATCGAATATGCTTATAAATTTCAATGAGGGTCTTTTTACTGACTTGAACAGTTTAAAGTCTAACTTGTTAAGTATTTCTTAACAGATACCTAGTGAGGAATTTAGGTTTTTACCTTGGACTTTTTGAGAGGAGAAGTTGTGTCACAGCAACGTAAAGAAACTTGAGGGTGAAATTGAATTCAAAGCAAATCACTGCCTTATAACGGGAGTACATGCAAAAGCCATGTGCGATATTTTATTTAACTAAAAATTTAAAGGTTTTTATGCTTGTACTGTACTGATGGATTCATAAATAGGCATTTAGAATAACGCTTATTTGTCTTACGTCAACAATTCTTGAAATTGATAAGCAAAACACTTCAAAGGGGTGACACGCAAAGACATGTGCGATTAATTAATTGTGAGAGCCCTAAAGCATGTTATTAACGTCAAGCAGAATTAAAATTATTCTTCCTATGTCAGGTCTTCTTAATGAATTGCCTTCTTTCCGAGTTTCCACAGATTATGACAGTAACAGATTTTGCCTTGATCTTCAGATCTTTAGTCTGTGGAATACAACGAATATATACAGTGGAACCTCTATATAACGAGCCTCTATACAACGCAGTCTTCGGTATAGGTGGTTTTCACGTTACGTCATCGCCGCCATGCTGGTGGACGGTAAACAAAAGATCGCTCATTAGCTCGCTTTGTTTGTCCACCAGCATTTGTTCATTTCACCATTGTTATTTGTGTCTCCCGAGATTGCATGAAAACCACCTATAACGAACGATTTTATTTACACCAGTAATAAAAAAAATATATGGAAAAGTACCTCGATATCACAAAACCTCGTTATAGCAAAGGAATTTTGCCAGTCCCTTCGCACCTCGTAATATCGAGGTTCCACTGTAATAAGATAGATGGAAAGAAAGAGTAATAACCTCTGAGGTGTCTATCTCTGATCCAATCCTCTCTTCGAATAGCTAACAGCTTTCAATAGATTTTCTTTGATGGTAGAATTTATCATAAAACCCTGCCTCGTACCCAGACTCTCTCTCTCTCTTTCTCTCTCTCTTTCGATGAAAATATGCGCGAAAAGGAAGGCAACTCGAGGTTATTTTGGCGGGAAATCGAATAGCCACTCGCGTCTTGTAAAGCTGGGGCAGCTAAAGAGTCAATAAAGAAGAAACCGGAAAGCGGAAATTGTTTCTGTATCCGTATTTTCTAAAATTTTAAGCTTCGATTAATTGTCATGTCTACAAATTTGAAATATGGAGAAAGAGAAAGACAGAGAAAAAGAGAAAAAGCGGCAGACCAGCGAAACTCAAAGAGAAAAAGGGCGACAGAGATCTAGAGAGAGAGAGAGAGAGAGAGATAAAAACAAAGGAGACATTTTTTTGTTGGAAGAACAACATGAAAATTTTGTAGCGGCGGTGACAATGCTAGCGGCCACCAATGCAAGGAGAAAATGAGCGGGGTGAAATAACAGTGAACGAGAACACGTACGACATTTCCTCCATAAAAAAGTGTCTGGAAGTTTCACGTTGTGGTCGTGCAAAACAACGGCAAAGAAATGTACAAAAACAGTGTGCTGCACGTGCAAAGTTGCTTTTTGGCTAATGAGACCTATTGATGTTTTTTCACCGTTCTCCGGCGTTGCCTTAGCCGCTTAGCATTACACGATTTTATATTTTGTTTGAACAAACAATAAATATTATCGAGAGCTTCGCTTTTAGCCTTGGCTAAATCTATACATTATGTATGTTCCTTCCACTCATATTCTTGTTTGGGTCTTCTACTCGGTTAGTTCCACGAACTATTTAGGTGTCCCAAACTCTGCACAATGAACCTACAATAGAAAATTCATTTTCCTTCACAATCTCTCGATTTCATATTTTAAAGCACTAATTTGTATTAATTATTATTGTGTTTGAGTTGAAATAAAAATTGACTTGACTTGACTTGTTACCCTATGCTTTTCCAAGGTATATATTTGATTTTGTTGTTAATTGCAGCGATTAACTAAAAAAATGTATCTTTTTCAAAATGAATGCAATGATAACTGCATGGTCTCCAATATTCCGCCTTCTTTAACTTGAGTGGGCATGAAGCAAAGTATAACGACAGTTACAATAAAATTCCACATTAGAAAACGTTCTAATTTCAGTATACACACACTTAGTGATTTTGTCGTTTGTCGCAATCTGATTAGTTCACTATCTGAGACTGTTAATACCAGATAGCTTACCACGGAAACAAGGTAGCTCTGAGCTCATTAGTAAATAAACT